GGGCTGTTGTGCATAGGGTCGCTATGAGTTGAAAACGACTCGACAGCACATAAAAACAACAACAACAACAATAATGAAGAATTTAAAAAAAATCAGTAGTAATTGGTCTATAAAGTGAACAGTAACACCAGGAGTCATCCATCCATTCCTTAGAATAATCAACCACATAAGGTCACTAGGGCTGATTTACCCAGGAATAGGACAGAAGGATTAATGGAGGTGAGAATCGCAGGGAGGAAGTGAGGAAAACATGGTTATAGTGTGAATATAGGGGAGAAGGCTGGGCAGTCTCCTCCCGAGTGATTAACTGCCTCTGAAAACCCACCGGAGGGTCAACTGTGGGTACACAACAACAACAATTGTGTGAAATGTCATAAAACAAAATGGGTGTGAATAGTTGATTGGAAAAACCTATTTTCTTTGTAAACATTGACTCAGCTCACAGTACAATGTACAGCTTGTTTGGCAGGTGCCAGCGGTTCTTCCCCTCCCCAGCCTTGCCCTGCTTCACCATCTGGCCCATCCTCAGGAGGCTGGACTGGCTGCAGGACAGAGACATCCCAATCCAGAGGAAGCAAGGAGGAAAACCCTGACGTCACCAGAGGAGGAGTGGGAGCTGGAGGAGCCATAGCCCGCCCCCCTGCTCAAAGCTGCTGTGTCGTGAGGAGGTTAAGAACATCCTGGCTGGTGACCACCTGCAGCTGGCTGGTGACTTTCCTCCTGCAGACTGTGGATGGAAAATGCCAAGACCTCAAGTCCATCTCACCAGCAATGATGTTGACCCTGCTAAAGGCCAAGTTTAGCCATGTTGTGGAGAGGTTTGTCATCATGGACTGCAGATACCCCTTATAAATATGAAGGGGATGTAGACCTTCTCCAGGATCATAGTCCTCCTGCACAACTCTATCACAGCCTCTAGCCTGGACAAGAAAATCATCCTCATCGTCCACTGTGAATTCTTGTCTGAGAGAGTTCTCCACATGTGTTGATTCATCTGAGAACAAAACCATGCTGCTAGTAGCTATCCCAAGTCTACCCCGAGATGTACGTCCTCAAAAGTGGCTACCAGGAGTTCTTCCCACAGCACCTGACCTGCTGTGAGCCCCAAGATTGCCAGCCTATGAACCATGAGGCCTTCAGGGAAGACCTGAAGACATGCAGCCAGGGAGCAGAGCCAGCAAGAGCTCTGTAGCAGCTGCAGGACCACTGACCCGGGAGTTATCAGGGGACCTGGGGGGCGTGGGCCTGCTGGGAGGTCCCATGCTGAGGTATAGCCTCCTATAACCAGCTGGAATTAGATATCTAAATATTAACAACCCACTTAACCCTACCTTCTGTTACCTCTAAAGGGGAAGTTGATATACTAGGAGGGAAAAGGTTTGATTCATGAGCCAGCCGAAAGCCCAGCCCGACTGTGAACCCAGGGCCTGGCTGGTCAGAAGTGGCCTGCTCTTTTCTTGCCATGGATGGACAGATGGGCATTGGCTGGCACACATATGTACACTCACACAAGCAGGGTGGAAGCACTTGAGTGAGTGTGGCAGCTGTGGCTGGAGGACACATGTGTCTGTTCGTGTGGACAGACATCTTTACACTTAATTGAGCTTTGGAAGTATTCAAGAGGAAATGTCATGGAAACAGGTAGACCAAGACGGGAACAGCCTATGGATTCTGAATCTCAGAGTGGGAAGGGCTGTGCTTGACATGCATCATCTGTTTGGGCCTGGGTTTAATAAAGCACTAACCAAGCTGAAAAAAGAAACAAAAAACAAAAAAGACTTGCTTCTCTTTAAATAATCAGGAATGAGGCTAGATCAGCATAAGCTCAGAAATGTATTCGGATAAAGCATAGAACAATTGCCTTCTAGGCAGATCACACAGAAGGAAAAGACAACCTTTTAGAACCTGTTGTAAAGAACAACCCAGTTATTAAAGAAAATGTTATCATTTTAATAGGGAGAAACCCAAATTATAGTTTTATCTATGTGGTGTTAAGTTTATTGTTAAAAATGGCTTTTCTATCCGTTGATTGCCTTTGACTTCGCCACATGGAATGGTGAGGGGTATGCAAACATTGTTGGTTTCTTCACAAGGGGATTGGCTAGTTTCACCATTAAGTTGAGCAGATAAAGCAGCAGAAATTGATAATCTAACCACCAGCAAAGAAGAGGCAGAGAATTTAACGCTCACCCTTCGGTGATAGATCCTTGAGCAGCCAGACCTATAGGAGAGAAGTTGTAGCAGAGAATTAGAGACTCAACATTAGACAGAGCTGACCTGGGACTGCCACCTTATGGAACCAGAACCAGGGGCCTTTCCCCAGGCTTGGTGGAGGACTTGGAGGAAAATGCTCTCATTGGCAGGATAATAACTTGGCAATGCTGGAGTAAAGTTGCAAGGTTGAAGGCTGAAGGTTGAAGGGCCTGTGAGCATTCTTCAGAAGCTGTCCTGACTGAGAAATTGTACCCTGTTAACTTCTCTAATAAGCTGCCACATTGTTACTATGGCTCTGTGTGCCCTGTGAGTTATTGTAACTGATACTGAACCCAGGAGAGCAGTTAAAATTGGTGTTGGGATTAGTAGAAGTAGGTGGAGGAGGATGGGGGATCATGTCTAACCATATAGAAATTAATTTTGTACTGTGGATGTAATTGATCAGAATAGTTCATCCCCTTTCTGGAGTTAGTAGAGGTCAATATGGCCATCTCCTTGCTGCCTACCTTCTTTTTATAATCTATTGGTGATACTAAATGTCTTTAAAACTCTTACAGACTTAACCAACTCTTAGTTACCCTTTGACTACCAAAAATAACGAGGGGGAAAAAGCTGTTGCAATTTCTGTATCCAGTCATCTTTTGTCCTAAATTTCTTCCTTTTTCATTCTGAAATGGCCAGTCTTTTTTGACTTTTAAATAAAATTATTCTCTTCTTTTAACAAGACACATTTAACAAGACCACCTGTTACCCTTCTGCCTTCTCACAACCCTGTCAGACAGACTAAAGCTGTCCATAGAGTTCCAAGTCAGTAACCTTTACTGAAACATGCTACCTCATCTCTCCCTGGAAACAGCTAGTGGATTCGAACTGCTGACTCTTTACCCACAGCACCACCAGAGTTTCATCCTGTAGGCTTAATATAGGCTAAATCCCATTGCCTGAGAATTCTAATTCCAGAGAAGATCCTGCAAACTTTCTTTAAGCTAATATATTAAAACAATTAC